ATTTTAAATTCACCTAGCTTGTTTGCCATGTGTTGCATACATTATTCCAATGAAACATAAACAGATCATCAATAAAAAAAAATCGATGTCAGAAACCACCTAGTCGATGACTTACAACCATAAATAAGAAAATTGGCTCGTCGCGGTAATATGCGAGACGGGGGAAAAAGGAGGCGAAAACGGCAGAAAATTATCATATAAATTTAATTATAATGATTTTCACAGCAGCAAATAACTATGATTATGCTAAACTGTTCAACAACTATTGCCTATTAGCTATTAATAGGAACATAATGAGCTTTACAACACTTATTGTTTATTTCATGCGAATCAAGTGCACGGCTCGCTGGCTTGTTATTGTTGGAGCTTGAATATGGCAGCCGCAAAATGAAAAACAAAGTCGAAAAGCGTGATTGTGTTGATTATTTGTCGCGAATCACAATTTTGCATCCGTAATCGATAGTAATCTATCAGTCACACTCGCTTACGATTCAGCCGTGCGCGCGCACTTTATGTTTTGTTTCTACAATTACAGTTTTGATTGATGAATGTAATGTATTCGATAACTGAATCGATAAGAATCAAATAATCATGGCGCAATGATAGATGATGCAGCTTATCTGCATTTACTCACGACAAAGGTGAGTGAGGTAGTGTCAATGGGCAATGACAAAACAACTAGATTTTTCCGTTATTTCATCTTTATACTTTCGATGTAAGAAGAAGAAGAAGAAAAACACAGCACAAAATGTCGTTAATAATTTGGTTGTAGACGCAATTAATAATTTTTTTATTCATGTTTTGTTAAACTTGTTTATAATTACAATAATTGCCTGATGAGAGGAAAACATTCCTTAAATCAACCCAATGGAAATAACTTCATTTCGATCAAGCAAACATTTATATATTTCATTTTTCTGCACCGTTATTTGCCATCGGGAGAAATTATTTTCCCAAATTTTTTTGGATGCAAGATCCAGAAAAACACGTTTTCTTTCCACAGTGAGAGAAATGTCGGAGGAACTTCTCCGGGAATGGCCGTTATTCATTCATTCGATTTCTACTTGATGCCAATTTCACACAGAGAAATCGGTTGTAATGTTGTAAACACAATGGCGTGGCTGGTTGAGTTCAGCAAACAAGTGCAATTATCGCGCGAAAAAAAGAGAAGAAACTTTCCGGCATGCAACGCGAACGGAACAACTAAATTAGTGTGGCTCAATAATTGGTATGCATTGCTTTCGGGTGTAAATCAAAAATTAAAATCGCCTTTATAAAATGCAACCAAATCGTAATAATTTTCGTTGACTTTTAAATACCGAAATTAAAGTTCAACCAAATTGCTTTATTAAGCAAAAAAAAACATGTACACAGCGAATACGAAAGAGGTACATAATTTTACATTGCCATTCGGTTCAAGCCGGATTCGAGGCATTTTAAAATGCATCTCATAAAATTACGTACGGGTTCAGGTCCGATGTCGTGAAAATTATGCTGATTATATTCCCGCGATTCGAAATTATTTTTTAAACTGGAAATTAACAATTAGTGAAATCGTTATGCCGCATCTTCATTTCCATTTTACATGTTGCATTTTTCCAGGTTTTTTTCGTTTCACATTTTTGCCATTGACCAAAGATGGCTGGGTTTGACAATTACAACAACAAACAGGATAATTAAATGAGCCTTCGATTCACTCGAAATGTTTTCGCTCGATATGCAAAACAGGTACATAAATATTGTTTTTTTTTCAAAAGGGGAAATACCTGGAAAGACATTTTGAAACGATTTTTCCTTTTTATGTCGAACCAAAACAAATGCTCACACACGCATTTTATGCAAATTTTTATTGAGCAAAAACATAAAGAATTTGCTTTAAATTTGGTCCGTATTTTTCAATGTGTAGTTTATATAAATGATTTTTGACCACACATTTTCTAATCAAATATAATTTGAAAACACTTTGTGAGTCCATTTCTCAAATATTCCATTATTTCCAAATCGATTTAATGTGTTTGATTCAGCACCTTTTCTACTCAATTCAATGCCAATTTCAGAATGATACCCGCAGCTGAGCAAAAAAATAATTCCAGATTTAATCAATTTATATTGAAAATCGATTAGAGAGTTTGTTGCTCAATTGAATATGTTTTCAATTATTGAGGACTGCTGTTCTTTAGCATTGCAAAAAACCCATTAAAGCCTTTGCAAAATCGCATATGTTGAAAACGAGTGCGTCTATGTTCCACATTGATTTCAATGCGATAAAAAGTCTACTAATGTAAGTGACTATTTCATGTAGTTTTGCATTTTCTTTCAGTGAGCTTCTTAATCAGTAATTTAATTCCATCATAAATGGCCGGGAAGTATTTATTAGCTGCAAATTAGACAGAATGGCTTCTGGAGCAAACGTGTAATTTAGATATTGGTTGTTGCGCCATTGTATGGAGTCTCTGATTCTCAATCTTGCAGCGTTACGCATACGCATGGCCCCTTAACGCTGGACAATTACCCCGCTGAATAATTGTTGGATACATTGACTGAAAAACTGGCAGGCGTTTTGCGTGTTCCGTGCAATGGCCCAACTGCTTTTAATGCCATATTTCAAAAAAAAAATTGTCGTGAAAATTCATCAAAAATAAATTTGCACATAATAATTTAGTTACATTTAAAATAAGATGCACCAATGAAATTGTAGCCAACAAACACACACACACCCAAAAAGATGACGATCCTGCCAAGTTTCTCGTCAATTCGGTTGCAAAACATAAAAATGAAAATTTTGCCTTGAAGCACCTTTCGCAAAAAAATATATTATGTTTCTTTTCCCTCGGTCCAATCATTTTATATGTAGTTTGATAATGAAAAAAAATGATGGCATTAAAAGTACACCCAATCATTGTTATAAGTTTCGGTCGTTCATATTTTGCTTAATTTAATGTAACGAAAATGATATAAGTGTCGTGACCAAAATATAATTAAATCAATAGAGTCTACGTCTTTTGTTGTGAAAAAGCGACGAGAACGAGAGAAAGAGTGAATGTGTGTGCGCGCATCTCTGTGTATTCTCTACAGAGTAATTCATATAATTGAGGGGGAAAATTTTCTTGAAAACACAGAAAACATCGATGAAGAAAATTACAATAAATATTTAACATAATTTTTGTGTTCAAACCAACCGAACAGTAAAAAAGAGTGTGCTTTAACTGCGCAAAAATGATAAATGAAATTAAAGTTGAGAATAATAATCTTTTAATTGAATCAAAGTACATATGGTTTTTCTGTTCACTATAGAAACGAATCAGCGATACAATACACAGAGAGGAAAAAGCCATTGCGCGTCGTGTGTAAATTGATTCTCATTCACTTTGTGTGCTTGGTAAGGTTTCCTCATTTCTGGGGTAGAGTGTTTTTGTAATAAATCTAAAAAAACACACCGAATAGCATAATGTTGAGTCGCGCGCGCATTCCGAAACAATAATGAAAATTCATGTGTCAGTCTGAATAACCAAGTTAATTGATTTTTTTTCTCTTCCTTCTTCTGTGGGTCGATTTGAATTTGTTACGATTCTTAAATACGTAACTCATAAATCCATAATGAATGGGTATTAATAATAGCTAATAAGTGTCGGCCACTAGCCGTTGATCTAGACATGCCAAAAAGAAAACAAATCAAAATTGGAATCGTTTTCGACGTATTGCACCGATTATTAATCATTCGAAAAGAGAGAGAAAATATAATACGTGGCTCAGATCGGTGAAACTATTATTCAATCCACGAAATTACCACTTGAAGCTAAATGTTGCCGTTCGACGAACTGTGTGCTCATGAATGCACTTTAGGAAACCGTGCAAATGGAAATGAAAATGAACAGTTTATTTAATGATATTTTCGACACATTATATCTCCTGCGAACGCGCTGCAACATGTAGACAGCAACACGTTAACGAGATGAAACAAATAATACCAATTACAGGGAGAATGTCAACAAAGTCTACTTCGACACTCTGCTATACAATAACGATTATTCCCTTCAGATCCATTGTTTCCCTAGCACCCATTCAATGTGGCACCAAATTCCATTAAGTCTCTCATCGATTTTTTACACGAACGAATCCAGCTTCTACACGAGTGAAAATCCGCAATTCGTTCGCTCAAAATTAAAATTTGTGAGTAAAAAAGAAAAGAGAACGAGAGAAAAGGAGCGCTTCATGTTAAAAAATATCATTCATCAAATTCCTTTCTGTCATTCAAACTAGCAGACGGGCTACAATTGAAATATGTGTGCATGGTTGTAACAACCGCTCGAAATAAATATAGGGCACGAAAATGCCAAATAGTTGAAAAAGGAACAGAACACCAAGCGTTTGGGCGTATGCGCAACTGAACATTAAATATCTACGCTATTTGGTTGTAATTCATTTGGAAAAACACACACACGCGTTGCTCCTTTTTTGGGGGAAACCAGTAGCTGGATTTGAATTTTAAAATTGAAAAAAAAAATTCAAGTTTTGCACCTTTTAGCAAATGATGAATTCAAAGTCTTTGGTCAATCGTGTTCCGATCGATTCCCTTTTCTGCACTGCAATATGTATTTCTCTTGAATTAAATGTGATCACTTGGCCAATGAAAACAACGTGAATTGAATTGAGTAAGCCGTAGTAATAATTGAGATCGGGAGGAACAACATAATTATGTGTTTCGTATTTGGAAGGCATAATTATAACGTTGTAAATCGACAGTAATTGGTATTCAGCGGCCAAGAGTGTTTCACAGTGTATCTTGTTCTGTTTCTAGGCGTTAACTGTCGCTGGCTGGTCAATGTGTCTGAGAATGTTCAACATATCATTTATTATATGCTCGTGCCTACAAAATCCACACACTTGAATCAATCAAAGATGGACAAATGTAAATCCATTTGCCGAACAATTTAAAGCAAATGGAATAAGAACGGAGGGAAAATAAAAAAAGGAGTAAAAGTGATTGATGTGTAACTTACTTGTGCCGATATGTACGCGTTTCATCCATGGGTAGATTTGTGGTGGTGTACCTTTTTTGCCTGAACCATTTTGACTGCCACCTGCTTCGTTGCCGCTTTCACTGTCCGTATCGGAGTCACCACCGTTGGGACTGTGCATTGACATCGGTACATTTGTGTGATTTACGTTATTATTATTGTTGCTGTTGTTTAAACCTAATGGATTTGTAGACGAAACGTTGCCACCACCACCACCGCCGCCGCCAACATTTTTGTTTAGCGAACGGGCCACATTTTCGACAACCGTCGGCGATAGTTTCGGTGAAATATCTCGGCCAGTTGTCAAATCCTGAGGACTTGATATGAGCGACGTGGTATTATTGTTATTATTGTTGTTGTTTGCACTGATTTTAACGCCGTCCGGATCGTATTTACAACTATTTGGATTCATTGCAGGCTGTTGCTGTTGATTCGGTAGCATTAATCGTTGCGGCTGCGGCTGTAGTTGCGTATAGTCGACCATATCGTTTGGATTTTGCTGTCCACCCAAATTGTATGCCTGATTTGTGTAGTGCGCTTGGGGTGTGCTCGGATAGAGGTTTGGCGTGTAGGCCGATGATGGAAAATAATCATTGGTCGTCGCGGCCTGATTATTGCCCGTTGAGGTAGATGTAGTGTTGCTTGTGTTATTCCCACCGTGTTGTCCTAGCTGCGACTGTGGATAGCAAGATGCCAACGAATTGACAAATTGATATGAAGACATTGCAAAATTCTCCGGATTCATTTTGTTGATTGATTATGTGTCAAACGATGCACAAGAAAAAGTTTTTCGCCTTCTTCTAACCCAATTACCACTGCTGTAAACTTCTTTTGCCAGCTATTGCACTTTGTTTCGCAGTTGTTTACACTGTCTGGAAGAGAAACGAAAAATGACGAGACGAAACGAACAGAGCGAAACAAAAATAAAATTAATTTCATAAAATGAAGGGCAATTTCAATTTGCTGTTAAATAAAATTGAAGAACTTCCATTTCAGTTTAATTGCATTAACAACATTCTGCTTCATGTTTCAAATCATGTTGCAATGTTCACAATGTCGAGTATTGAGGTGAAACCAAAATGAACAGGAACCCAAAGTACCGAATAAAAGTTTGTACAGCCATAAATGTCGGCCATTTAGTCAAACATGAACACGATGTGAAACTTCATGGATTTTCGAGCAGCGTAACATTAGGTCGATTTTTGATCGCGCATTAACAAATATTGAGCACGCAACTCATGATACAAAGGAGCGTACAAGCAACAAAGAGGGAAGAAAACACGAAACGATTTTTTTCGGTTGGTTTTTGCCGTTTCTTCGCTTATTGCGGTCGATTTTATTCATTTTCGATCGGTCGTTCCATTTTGGTATGTTTTTGTAGTGTGTTTCTGATCATCTTCAAATTTCTGATGTTTATTTTTTTTCTGTGTGCGCTTTTTTTTCGCACAAGTCAAAAATGTTCGGTCATCTGAGTTTAAAGCATAATTTGTTGTTGTTGAGACGATCGTGTGTTAATCGCACACAAGATTGCCCATTGGCTCAAAATTATAGGTTTGACCATGTTTCGCGTTCATGTTTCTCCTTTTTATCTTATTCTTGATATTTTTTTCTTTTGCTTTCGCATTTATTTTATTCGAACTATTCTTTCAACGTGATTCAATGGAGTATTTACTACAACACAAACAAGAGGAAAATAACCGCGATAAAGCCATGCCTCGGATCGAACCTGTTCCGCTTGTAATTTTCGGATGATTTTTCAAAAACAACAGGAAACAAAATTTTCGCTCTTTTCACTGTGACGCGATCCATGCTCTCCCTCGTTCCAATAGCCATTTGAAATGTTGTTCATTAACCGTTTTGTTCGTGATTGCCAATTTATTTCAATTTCATTTGAAAATCACATCTTTTTACGCTTAGAATTTCTCTCGGTTTCATTACTCAAAACGCTTCCGAACCACATTTTTCATAATCATTTTCCCTTTATCATTGATGCAATGAACCGCTTGTTCGTAGTTTTTGAAGTCGCGAAAAATTTCGTGAATCTTCTTATGAGAGATAATAATCGAAGCGATGCAACAGTCTTAATAATTGAACGCTGCAATTGTTAACGGGCAATCGATAATAATGACTTAATCAAGTTCACTTGAATCGTGGATATTGTCGGCAATATCGATCAATCATACGGTTTGTCCATTGCGGACATTGAGATATGAAGAACCGAAAAAAATACTCAGCCGAACGAAGTGATTTCAGCATTATATCAACATTATCGTGCTTTACTTGAAAAGCGAACGAGCCACAACAATCATATATGATTGTGCCGTTATTCGATTTGCAGGTATATAATTTATTTAAATAACATTTAAGGCAGTACAAGACGGCGAAATCAATTTAATGTGAAAATAATCAATGGCTTCCCATATACGGTGAGATTACTTCGCAAAAGGGAGGAGGATATTCTTTTCATATGCAATTCCAGACAAAATGAACCGTGCCAGCAAACACTAGAGAACGAAAGAAAAAGGGCACCGTTCAATTGTTACGAAACACCATCAATTATTCGGGCCGTCAAGAAGATTCTATTCGAATCTACATTTGAATATTCAGTGATCGCATAATCTAATAAAACACCCGTGACCTTTGTGGCTGGTAAGCACTGTTTACTTGTATTCACTCTTCGAATAAGGGGAGAAAAGCAAAGCCGTTGTAATTAATAGAAATTACAGATTCGTTTGAGATTTGCGATTCTTCAAACCGATAACAATTTGCAAGTGGCGTCAATTATTTGGTTTCCCATTAAAGCTAGAAAAACACATTTTTTAAAATTCAGATTAGAATGACGATAGCAAATTTGAATTTAATTTGACTAAATTTATTTTACAAAATTCCGGGGAATAAAGAATTTGTTGAAATCGGAAGCTTTGAGCGTCTATTGCAACACAAATTAAACCACAAAAGATCAACAACGATGATTTCAGGTTGAGAAAAAGAGCGTTCTATTCGGTGACGATTAAAATGAGCAGAAAGTAAATGCCGGAGAGATGTCATATAAATCATTTCGCACGATAAACACACACGACCGCACCAAGCACTGTGCAACAACACATTTTGACTTGAGTCGTTTTTTTCCATTTGTTCTTCGTTCTCTTTGTTCAATTTGTCTCCGTTCGGTCGAAGACAAACGCACCGTGAAAATTGGCTTTGAGAAGATGCTTTACGTTTGGTGGTAAAAAGGTTACTTATCTCCGTTTCAGATGCTTTGTCTAATGTTTGGATTTCGTTTTGGTGAACCAATTTCGGGGCATGATCGAATTTTTTTTTCACTCAACATAAGAACATAAAAAAGGAAGAGAGTCACAATCACACATGACATCAGCGAAACAAAGGAAAATTGAATTAAATATTCATATAATTTGTGTGATTTCAATTTAAACCATTTTCAAAGAGAACCAGACTGAATTATTTTACATACCAAATTAAAAACCATTCTCTTTCCGACCAACTGCGCGCCGAAACGAATGATTTGAATTTTAAAATTGTGAGTAATGCGCGCGTTTTGCTTTATTTCCACTCGCAAACCCTACTCGAAACAAACCGAAAATTACATTTATGGCTTACATTTATGGATTTGTCGGACTGAGATGCTGTGGTTGGCTGCGCTTTTTGTGCTTACTGTTGTGTGTGATTATGAGCTACAACGATTGTAGAATGCGGAGCGAGAGAGAGACGGAGAAAAAAAAAATGCTGCAATTCGAGCGCACTCCCTAACAATGTGAACAAGGCGAAGTAAATTGAAGCTATTAAAAAGTCGTAAAATTTGTAAGCACCTCATAAAATAATGGAAACAATACACAATTCTCTTGTGCTCGCTTTTCTATCTCTTAAATGATTTATGCCATTTTAAACACCGGATTTTTTTTCATTTTCGCCGCAGAAATTCAATATTGACAGAATTTTTTTTTCTTTTCAATTTCTCTGTTTTAGACGCGATAACCAGCAAAAAGTTCACTTTTCGTGAGAAACGTGAGAATTTTTGGTAAGAACTTCGAATCATTCTTCAATTTTTTTAAAGAAATAGGTTGTTCGAATTAAATTTCATGAAAAAATACAGCAACATCGGAAAAAGTTGAATTTTTTTTCCACAGCTTACCTTCTCTCGAAAAATTTTTCGTTCACTATTTATTCAGTAATAGCTTCCAGTTCTGTTTTTTTCGATAAAATATCTTGTTTTTGTTTTTCACACCAGTGATTCAAAATCACAAACTTCAAAAATATTCTTATTAATCGTAATTCACTTGAAATCAAAAGTAATGAGAGCAATAATTCTTTTTCTCTTTTTGTCAGTTCTTTGATTTCAGCAAATGATTCATGTATATCCGATGAATAAAATCACTTGTCGAAAATTCTTCTTGTAAGCACTGCACGAGTCGAATTTTCTAAGTCTGTTCCTCTCAATCACCAATTTTCCACTCTCGTTGTGTCCAAAGTTACAATCCGTCCAAAACATTGAACGACGACGATTTATTTCAATGATGATAATAATATATCATTTTTCACTTTGATCATCCAAATAAATTTTACATTGCTCCAAATTGAGAATATAGCTCGCACGGAACGGTGATCATGTAAAATTATTTTGCACTTTTAACGATGTAAAGTAATTAAACAAACATACGAAATGATTTGGTTGTTTGATTCTCAATCGAAAACTCTTCACCACCGAAAAAAAATGACAAACCAACGGAAAAAAAGAACAAATTTCACCGGTTTATTTTTATATAAATTGTTCATTTGCACGGGATTGTTGCTCTTGTGTGTGCGATTCGATGCACATACGGCGCACGATTAATACTTAATGTTTCATTTGAATCGCACAATACACCAACTGAGAGATGGAAAACCGAGAGATTTGACGATAGACTACGGCGCACAAAGAATACACTTCAATTTACGATGTGCGAGAGAGTTGTGTGTTTTATTTTTCTTCGGTTCGGCTTCCTCCACGACACAAAATTATATGTATGGGAAATTGTCCAACATATGCTAGAGAGTCACACAGTCGAATGCCGAAAGAGCGACACTACCACATCAGCATCATGAATGAACACACGGGCTCTCCGATCATGAGCTTGTATTGTGTATTTTCGGTGCCACACCGATGATTGCCCGACTATTGCGCATAAAAATACACTCTTCACACCACACAAACGCACTGCCAATGGCAACGATAACGATGAATTCAATCCCAGTGCCGCTGTGTGTCTGTGTGTTTGTGTGCGCACAGTCGGCCTCTCTTCAACCAACAGGCTACACCATAAATATCGTTTAAATATTTGAATATACATCAATACACGACCATAAATCTTGATGCGGTAAGAGCAAGTGAAATGACTGAATGCGAGCAAATGCGAGCAATAAAGAGGCAATTATCGTTTGGCTTTGTCTTCCACACAACCGCCAGCCGATCGACTCACCAATAGTCGTTTCACTCTTCTGTGCGCCGCACTGAAGACAACGCGCTAGCAAAATGTGAAACAGACTATCATGCTGTTTCGCTACGCAAAGGATAGCACACACGCGAAGCGTGTGTGTTGAAGTGAGATGGGAGCAGAATTGTGTATTTCTTCGAAGATTCAATCCTTTTGATGATCATGAATGAATTTTTACACATAATAGTATCGATAATTATTGAAAATATCGTTCATTTTTTGTTGATTTCAAGCAAAAAATTGAAAATTTCTCGTAATTTTCCAAATGAAATTTCAATATAAGCAGCTCAATAAACGTTACATTTTCAAAAATTCAAAGCAATCGCATGGAAACAGTATGAAGAAACGAAGAAGATGAAACACAAATGAAACCGCACAGAGCAGTCTATTTCACTCCGACCGTCGTGTGTCGCGTATTTGCTATCGTCATCCTGTGTTCCCTATCTCTGTCCGTCCTGAGTGTGTGAGTTGCGTACTAGCGTTCGTTCTGCCTTTGTTCGCTGGTCGTACGCTGTGCGCAGCAGCACACATTTTCATTTAAAAGCCATAAATTTTGGTTTTATACGATAATGGGCGGCGTCTCAATCATTCGCTCGTTTTCGTCACCGCCTTTACTTTTGAACATGTGCGCTCTAGTCACCAAGAATTTGATACGTTTTTTTTCATTTAAATATTGTCTTTATGCTCTTTTCGTTGACTAAATTCTTTTTGATCGTTCATTTCGAAGTCGAATAAAAAAAAAATACTCACTCACCCGAGAATATATTCACTGAAACAACTATTTGTGTGTGCTTTGTGTGAGAAGTTTCGATTATAGCCAGTAGCCAGTAGACACTTTTTAAATTTCGATTTTTTCTTCGGTTGTTTTTTTGTCTCTCATTCTCGTTGCTTTTGTTTTTATTTTCTTCTCAATTTTTCCATTTCTGTAAAAAGCGTTTCGTTTGTCGTTGCCCCGTTTTCTTTATTATTTTCGAATCGAATTGTGGCCGTAGTGGTTTTGTTGTTGTGTTTCAATTAAGAAGACACCAAGTTTGTTCCTTTTTTTCCCCATCCATTTTTCCGAAAAAAGCACGAACTTGATTAAAATTGATTAAGTTGAATTAATTACGATTTCATCCAAATATCAAAAAAAAAAGAGAAGAAACCATTCCACCAAACTCGACCCGATCTGTGATGTCACTTTTGCCAAGTAAGTATTTTGGAATTTCACTTTACTCCAGCACACATATTTTGTTTCGTTGACGGAGGGAAGACATAAGTTTTAATTGAATTTTTCTGTGGAAATGTCATTGGTTTTAATATTTAATTGACTTTGGAATCTATGTAGGTTTTGTATTAGTTTCAATGATTTTTTTTCGTGAATAAACACTATTGTTGTACTCGTAGTTATAAGAGCCATGCACTTTTAATTGAAATAAAAACGAGATTGGATTTAAAAAAAACATGTTGTTAAGTTAAGTCGGTGGAATCCATAGTGAGTAAGTGTTTTTTGGTCGAAAATATATTTCAAACTGAACCGGACGCTCGCAGTCATCATGCTGAACGTGTCTGGATTTGCGTCGAACGTCATTGAGGTGATATTATAGTTATTCTTAATTGCTAATATGCCAAAATCTGCAATGTCTCGCTGTGCAGAAGTAATATTTTTGCGAAACAATCCTTGACGTCAACATTTTTCCAAGTGTTTAAAAGGCTTAAAAAGGGCACGTTTTCTGAAGAAAAAAAAGAAAACGGTTGAAAGACAGAGTAGAAATTAGAAAGAATCGCCATTGACCTTGACTGAATGAGGTATTTCCATTTTGACAAGCCTTTCGTTTGCATATATCAACTCTTTTTCGAGAAAGAGGTAAACAAAAACAATCAAAGGTGTACAAATGGCAACGTTTTTCGCAAAGCAACGCATGCTGTGAAATCAGCACAGAGATTGTGTGCTATGAAACGACCATAAACCTACAAATGACTGGGATTGTAAAAACCTAAGCATTTTATTTTAAATTGGATCAATTTCTATGAAGCCCATAGCAATTGTTAGCTTCGAAAGGGTTTTTTTCTCACCTACCGCTTTCGAAGTACACCTTCGGTGATCGACAATGTTCGAACGAGATTAGGCACATTTTGGGAATTTATCCAATTTCCATCAATGGCATTTCAGAGCTTAGCTTTGGATAATGGCATTTAAATCGATGCAAATCCACATTTATGAACTTTAAAACTAACCCTAATAAACAGCCGAAAGAGTTGTGAACTCTTTGGAAAACTTTTTCGTTTTTGCTTTGAAACTGTTTCTTTCGTTTTGTCTTGCATTTCTTTTCATTCAAATTCCTTTCATGGGATATTCGTGTCATATTTTTCAGTTATTACTTCTAAATTCAATTCTTAAAAGATCTTCCAAATCTTATTTTTTCGATATATTTTCATCCATTTCATATTTGATCTCAAAATGCATTTTCATTCGTCGATTGTTGTTTGTTTAGTTCATGAAAATTCAATAACAGGCCGTACTTTTAAGTATCCGATCAAAGCAAAGTATTTTAGCATCATTTCGATACGTATATTTATCTAGTCCTGGTTCATTGCGAAAGCTGCATTGCAAATAGATGTTTCCTGTTTGAGAAAAAAAGGCACAAATCCAGGATAACATCATTTTTCTATTTGCACATAGATGTCTCAACGACTCCGAAAATCTATATTTGTTCGGTTGTTTCCCTTTTCGATGGTGTTGGCTAATGGTTTCAAACAACTAGGGCAAGCGTGTGTCACTGACTGCGTTCGTTAATTCTATAACAATATTCGGTTGTACTCGTTGTTGTCACTTGGCATTTATTCAATTGCTGACAATCTCAGTGAAACAAGACCGACTACGCGCTCCTCTGTTTCATGTGATCGTAATGCTGTAAATCATTTTTATTGCTACATAACATCAATTTAAATCAATTAGCAACCACAAAATATAGGGCCATTTAAGTTATTTTTTTCGTCAATTTCAAGATCAGTCTCTCACATTATGTCGTCCATAACTGGCAATTCAGCTTTTTGTTGTTGGTTTTTTCTTCGTAGAGCAGAAGATTCATTGCTGTTGTTAACAGGTAGTGATTAAAAATAGAGTTTTGATTGCGACCAGACCACATAAATAACACACAATTCTAATGTCACTTTTGTCAACTGAACAAACCCGAAGAGGCAAAATTTTGCTTTCCATTTCAAACATTTCAAAAATGACAACGTTCGTTCAATAGAGGGAGAACGAGAGAGAAGAAACACTTGCCAAAACAGAATCGAGGAAATGCTTAGAAAGAAATACCGAGAATATATTGCTTTATTGCGAGCAATTACAAACATTCGTAAAAATGTCAAAAAATGTTTGCTCTTTGTTTCCATTTTTAAGACGTTTATTCAGTCGAACAACAGTTTTCGAGCGCGTTTCGTTTCGTGCTGTCTCGTTTTGGTCACTCGTATACTGTGGCTGTAGAATGGGAGCGAAAGCAGTTTAAAACACATTTGAATTTGCCGTATTTAATATTAAATTTCGGAGTGTTGAAGCGTTTGTTCGAGAGGGTGCATCCACCTATGGTTTTCTGCTGCTTGAGCACCGAAAATCATTTATCATTCTGTCTTCGTATGTACACCACACTCGGTTCAACTTACACAGCTGAGTGAATATCATTTCTGGTCGTAGTGCCATTCGTTCGATTCAGTTTTCGTTTTCGGTTTTTTTGGTCATTTCCAATGGATTTAATATTTTCGACCAAAATCTGTCTGCGCTTTGTATAAATTGAGGAATACAAATAAAAATTGCTCCAAATCGATTACCATTTGCATTATTCCACCCAATTTGCGACGATCAAATCTGACAAGACCCACATTCTCGTCAAGTTTTTGTGTTAAATTCTAGTTTAAAGTTTTACTTTCAACAAGACCAAAATAGTTTTTTAGATTCCGAATTACGATAAAAAGTTAATTATACCGATGCTGTGATCGTTTTCCACCCACATTTGGCATAGTTTAGCTAGGTGTTTTTTTGCTCTGCCATTTTAATTACCTTCGAATGTGAAACAATGCTGCGCTTAGTAAAATTCGAATGCCAACAATTTCTTGCTCATTAAAAACAAATCAAATTTACAGCATACAAAACAAAAACAGAGAATAATAAGGCAAGCGCTTGTATAAAAATAATCACTCGACGCAATTACAACTAAAAGAGTATTTGTGTCATTCAAACGAATCGATGCGCGTGCAATAAAAACTCGAGTAAAAAGCAAATCGCTCAGTTTTTCACCCATTTTTGTGTAGTGCTCCAAATTCAATTCTGACGTAAATCGTCTCGATTGACGGTATGAATGACAACTCACTTGAAAATTGTACCCGATATACAAATACTACAAATGATGTCTGCTAAATGTTCGTGCTCATCAGCAATTTGCTAATGACTTCCTTGCCATTGAAAACTTTGCAATCGAAGTTAAATGTTTCAGCGTTACCGGCCTCATTATCAGTCACGTGTTACTTCTAAAGTCTTCATT